CAGGTGAGCAGAGCTCCAGTCACAGAAGCAGCAGCAGCCACAAGAGACAGCAAAGCAGACTGCAGTGCTAGATTTAAGAATCTCCAAGGCAGTTGACGATGTAGTGAAAATCTTATGTGGAAGACACATCAGGAAGATAGTAGCACATTGACAGGCTGCAGTGCTGCCTAGCTTGGAGAACAGAGTTCAATTAAATGAATGGGTAAAGGTAATACTGATGGAAAACAGCAGAACAAAACTATTGCAGAAAACAAGGATTAATCAACAAGAAGGGTATTTTTTTTCTTTGGGTTTCCCCTTTTCTAAAGGAAAGACTGATGGGACATTTTTGACAACAACCAACGTCATTACTGAAACAGCAAAGCTTCAAATATAAACTAATACAAATGAGGCATGTGTCAAAATGTTAAGAACATAAACTCACCAGCCTTGTATCACCAGCCGAAATGATAAAGTCGAAGAACGGTTCTAGACCAGCCCAGTATCCCGGGGAGTTCTCCTGCACCTGCTCAGAGAAAAACAAAACATTGCATCACAAACAAATGACCAGGCTCCCTTGCATTTAAAGATGCGAATTTAAAGAAGCAGAACGTTTGAGGTACTTTTCCTTCTGTCTATATTCCTATTTCAAGAATATACTCCATGCACCACTCTCACATTTCAGATCAGCTAATGGTGTTCACAAACCTGACCAAGACATGAAATTCAAATGTGCACAAGCAGCTCCTAATGTTCCGCCTCTCTTGGGTTTAATATGAACAAAGCAGGAGGCCACTTAGCCCCGGACTTCAATCATTCAAAGAGCTTGTGGCTGACCTACAACTTCTTGCCTCATTAACCTAAATGCTTTTGGCTAACATCATCAATTTCATATTTTAAACTAACCAACAACTGCTGTTTGCCTAAAGGAATGTTTTCTAATTTTGGGCATTAAAGGTTTAGCTTTTTTTAAAAAACATTACGCTTTCTAATCCCAGATTCCCCAACTATAGGAAGAAGTTTCTTCCATTCTATTCCCTTTGCTCCCATTACTATCATGAAAAGTTTGATCAACCCATCCTTTAACCTTCTAAATTCTAGGGAATAGTTCTTTTAATAAAAATATTTTGTTTAATCTCTCCTTGCAGTTTAACCCTTGGAATCCAATGGAATCACCAACTCCAGGAAAAGCAGAGTTCAGGCAGGCCAATCTTATTAAATCCTGCAAGTTTACTCTGGGGCCACAAACTGCAACGTAAGACAACAACAACTCACCAGAAAGAATATTTTGGCAGTTCATGTTTGTTGCAGTGAACTTTAAACTGATAGTACAGGTGCTTATAGCATAAGACTAATTTTTTGGGCACAGACCCAACAACCATCAACAGTGAGGAAGGCAAAATTGAGATTAACATTTGAGAAATTAAGACTTGATTGGCTGAAGATTGTTCAACGTTAGTTACCTAGACCAAAGTAGAACTGAATGATTTGATTTAACTGGACTGTTTGCTACAGTAGTAACTAGTTGGGCTTGTCGAGATGGGCATAAACTGCATCTCAGGTAGGGATCTTGTGGTGCAGTGATACTGCCCCTATCTCTGAGCCAAGGGGCCCAGGTTAAAGTACTACTTGCTTCAGAGGTGCATATTAACATCTCTAAACAGGTTGATTACAAAAGATATATAAGCTGCATCTCACCCGTGTAGACACTTCCATCAAGAGGACTACAAAAGGCATTTATTTTTGAACAGTCTTGCTAACAATGTTACATGGAACGTATAGTACAGAAAACACGGTGTTCAGCCCAACTAGTTTGTACTGGTGTTTAAGATTCACTTCTCTGCCTACGCCATCTCATCCTATCAAAGCAGCCTATTCCTTTCTCTATCATTTGCTTATCTAGCCTCTTAATTAAAAACTCTCTGTAGTATTTACCTCTACAACACGGTAGCAGGTTAAACATTCTAAACAC